TATAAATTAAAAAATGAATAAATTATAGAAAAAAAAAGAAAAGGATGGTAAATGATACATCACAAAAATGGTATGCAAAAGAGAACTGGAGTGGCTATACTAAAATCACACCAAAAAAAGGCTTTAAGACAAAATTTGTCACTAAGGACAAAGAAGGATATTTTACAATGACAAAAGGAATGATCTATCAAGAAGACATAACAATTTTTTAAATGTTTATTCATTTTTGAGAGAGAGAAAGAGCACGAGTGGGGGAGGGGCAGAGAGAGAGTGGGACAGAATCTGAAGCAGGCTCCAGGCTCCAAGCCATCAGCACAGAGCTCAAGCCAGGGCTCAAACCCACTAACGGCAAGATCATGATCTGAGGGGAACTGGGATAATCAACCGACTGTGCCACCCAGGCACCCCAAGGAAACATAACAATTTTAAACATATATGCAACTATCAACAAAGCCCCAATACACAAGTAAAAAACTGACAGAATGGAAAGAAAAAAATAACAACTTAATAATAGGGGCACCTGGATGGCTCAGTTGGTTAAGGGTCCAACTCTTGGTTTCGGGTCAGGTCATGATCTCATGGCTTGTGAGTTTGAGCCGCACGTCTGGCTCTGTGCTGACAGTGCAGACCCTGCTTGGGATTATCTCTCTCCCTCCTCCTCTGCCTCTCCCCTGCTCACTCGCGCGCGCTCTCTCTCTCTCTCTCTCAAAATAAATAAACTTTAAAAAAATTTTATAAAAGGAGAAACAATATATAAATTCCCATTCATTTATGTGTTGCCGATGGCTGCTTTCATGCTACAACAGCAGAATTGAGTAACGGGAACAGAAGCCATACAACTCCACAAAGTCTAAAATATGTTCGATTTAGCACTTAAAAAAAAGTTTGGAACATTTGGTTTCAGGTCCAAAATGTATAGAGCTTGGAAGTCTTCACCTACCTCTTTACAACAAGACTAAAAGTAAACAAAATGAAAATAAATGACTTTTGGCAGAGAAGGACAAATATCATATGTTTGCACGTATAGGAGGATTAGGAGGAACTTGACGGAGGAACAAGGGGGAGAAGAAGGGCGGAAATGGTGGGGGAAAGGGAGAGAGGCAAACCATGAGAGACTCTTGAATGCTGACAAAAACTGAGGACTGATGGATGT